ATTTGTTAAGTTGCATCCTTGGGAAAAGTACAGGAAAACAGTGAGGTTTTTCTGGCTTTCAGATATGAAGTAAATTTTACCATTCAAGTTTTTTTTAATCAAAATGAACAATTCCATTATTGATGTTTGCATTGTGTTGCAAGGGAAATCTGTTCTAGACTCTCAGCTTGAGCGAGGACATATTCTGGCATTTAAGAATGTGCTGCTATCTTTAATCCCTGCAGACAATAGCGATGAGCATGACAAGAGCAAATGCCACACTTGCCGATTGTGGAGTTAAATTAGGTAATGGAGCATAGGCGTAACGTAGTAATGTAGCCATTACACTGGCTTCTGTGCATTTAACTGTGAGCGTCCTATAATTAACATTTAGAGTTGCGTTTGTTTTTAGCTCTGAAACATTTCCAAATGCGAGTGCCCTGTGGAACCAAAGAACAAACAACATTAGTAAAAGCCCGTCATTTTTTATATAACTCACTTTGCAGGATAAGGACAGCCTGCGTTCCTATCCTTCCTATGCTGCTCATATTATTGTTATTATTTTTATTATTATTATTATTATTATTGTTGTTCTACTTTGTTCCTCCCTCCTCCTAAAACTTTCCATATTCCTTGAACAAGAAAGAAAGACATTCCCAGCCAAATGCATGCACTCTATAATCTAAAACCATATTCAGTGTCCAAAAATAAGCATCATCATCTCTTCATAAGTTTCACCAATGAAGCACTTGGACCTTGATTGAAAATGCACAATCGTCTCTGTATTTATAAGCTTCAGCCTGTGCCCGCAATAACTCATGAGATCCCCTTTCAAAACCAGAACGCCATAACATATTAATAGGCATTTATATTTGTGTTTAATAAATAATACAACCGATAAAACGCCAATAGCTATTCTTAGTCTCTATAATGCAGTTGGAATGTTGGTCCTGTTGCTAAGGAAAGCAGCGTGTCCCTCCCCCCACCACATTTCTATTCATCAGGCCCTCCGTTTGCTGAGACCTCGGGGAGGAAGAGCTCCCAAGCCATGGCCTCATTCCTCCTCCTCCTCCTCCTCCTCCCCCTCCGTGATGCCACCTGTGCCAGAGCCTCGTGGAAGAGGAAACAGTTTGTCATCTTTCATTATTGATAGGCTGATTGAGTGGGACGCTCAGAGTGTCCTCGCTGGCTCGCCAGTCGAGGCAGCCCCAGGTTAATGCACGGCAGAGCGAGGACGAGGGCCCGCTTTGGCTATTTTTTTTTATTTATTTCTTTTTTCTGTCTTTCTGTTTGTCTGTGGTGGATGCAGGATGTCTGGGTGAGGCAGTGTGGGTTTCAGTGGAGGCCGATGGAGTGATACAGCATGTTACAGCGGGTGATATGTCCAAGGCAAGGAGAATCGAGTTTCTCTTAAATAAGCTCCAGTGTTAATTTCATCTGTCAGGTGTAATGGCATTCTGTAGCAGGCTTAGGCTGATCTATTTTTTCATACCTTCATAATGCCTTTTTGCCACCTCATCTAGCGTTATTTAAAAATTGAAAAAAATGTAGTTCACTTTACGTGGTTACCAAATAAGTGAACATGATTTTCAAGCCATCATTCAACGAATGTCAAACCATCTATCGAACAATTGATAAATGTTAAACAGTGCGGCTAACTAGGAGAGAGGAGCTGGTTAGTGTTAGCTTTGCTAGCATGCTAACAGCTCTGCCCACCACAGAACATGTTCAATTCTGGCTAACTAAAGCGCTGACACAAGTTTAGATAATTAAAAATAATGAGTAAAATCTGAGCACCTATTGAAAAGACAGAAAGGCAAAAAATAAGCCTGTTCTTTGGTGTTTGAATCTGTAGCCTGATAGGCTATCTTAATGTTAGTGAGCAGACTACAGACCCATCACAGTACAGGCTTGATTCTGAGAAATTATGCCCTATTGACACAAATGTGGATGATAAAAATGTTAGAGAGCCAAAATCAAACCTGTTCTATGGTCTTTGAGAGAGAGCTCAGTTAGCAGTCCAGATGTGCCACACCACAGTATGGTTCTAGCTAAATGATGCTAAATCAGCTGTGACTGAGCTGCGATCATGCTTAGTTTTTCTGAGGTCTTTTTCTGTTAATGCTATCTACCAGTGAGCTCCACACCACCAGTCAGTGAGCCCTCTAAAAAATAAATGGGTGGAATGTGTTTATTTATCTGTTCAGACATAGAATCAAAATTTGACATCATAATTTTGAAATACGGTCCTCCTTTTTAAATACCGTCATCATTTTTACATACTGAGCACACCCTGCTCAGCCCTATTCTGTAGAAACAGCAACATTAAAAATAGCTAACTGTACGTGATGTTCATAGGGTTACTTGACAGTTACATAAGCCTTTCATGACATCTGACATAAACCTGCATAAACATGTATAAAGGCTTACTCCAATAATTGGCAGTTGTCATAAAGGCTGCTTCTGTCAGCTTCAATGTCAAGATAACACGACATGTACGTCAAGTGACACAGGTTTTTGGTGACTTTTTGGATGTGCTCATAACACTTCCAAGAGTCAAATGATAGCATGTTATAACAGCTGATTTTTTAAAGTCACTGTGTCCATTTTACAGATCATCTCCTGTTTCTAGTAGTGCCCATGTTCTCATGCAAATCCAAAATATCATACTAAACCAAAGTCATTCCCAAAGACGACACAAAATGGCCTGAAACTGTCCTACATCAAGGTACAACAAACATCTGCACAAACCGCTCCTTTTATACACACATTATCTAGGCTGCTTATCCTCCTGGGTTGCAGGAGCCTATTCCAGTGCTCTTTGGGTGCCCACATATTTAAGAGTAGCCATCTTCTTCATTTCTTTCTTTTCTTCTACATTTGGTAGCCATTTCTCCAGGTTTTAGGACACCGCCCACCTCATGATTTATAAATGAAAATATTACTTGGCACATCAGGCTGCACTGTACACAGGCCACACTCCAACATCATTTGAAAGTTGTGATGGTGCCATGCATCGTTCAAGCATCACTGGATTTACCTATCAATGCTCTTGAAAGTAAAGGTTCCAAAAAGGGTTCTTTGCCAGTGGCATAGACGACCCACTTTTATTTGCCTAAAGAACATTTCAGTTGAGGGTTTTAGAGAACCATTTGAGATGCTAGTGTGAAGAACCTTTTCTAAATTTAAGGCTACACTAAGTACATTTTGGAGATTTGGAGACCTCTCTGGTGGAAATTTGTAATTGCAGACAGTGTGTGGGAGGCTATGTTCACATTACAAGTCTGGTTTACATTCTTGTAGGCAAGTGGCTCCATTAATGCAATTAATATGAACAAATCTGTCAATAACACCAAGTGAATGAACCATGTGCATCTTGAGCAACAAACATACCAACCAGCAGAACAAGCCTTCATTGTGAAGATAATTTGAGTTGGACTGCTCTCTGTTTATTATTAGAGCAAGATGAAGTTGCATTCTTGAATCAGTACTCAGAACTCAGAAATAATCATACATAGTACAGCATTACAAAAAACCTCTACATAATGAAAAGACTCTTTACCAAAGAAGGATATCAAGATCCATCTTGGAACCTTTATTTTTAAAGAATGAATAAAATGTTAAAGATTCCATCAGTGGTTTTAGACTAAAATAGGTTCTCTACTGTCACAGGTTTTAAGACTGATCGAGGTGGATAACTAGATGATTGTCATTTTGCAAAAGAAACAGTTCACATTTTCTATGAAAAAGCTCCTGCTAACAATAGAAGAACGCATCATAAGAGAAAAAGACCTCTAGGTGGTGACACTCCTTGTTAAAGACAAATATATTTCTGGTTTATGACATAAGCCCAACCTAAAAAGGCAGAGTCTAGGCATATGATCCCGTTTGCCCTCTTCTCCACCTAATACCATTATCACCTTCCTTTTTCAACAAGCACTGGCTGTGCTGTGAACTGCTAGCAGATGTCTTTAACACACTGCAAATAGAACGCCTTTCATAGACATGACAACCTGTCGCTCCTACCCGTGAAAAGAATTGTGCTCAAAAAAGGAACCTTTAGTTTGTGCTCGTGACCAAAAGTTAGACAAGGAAGTTACGTAGGAATAAAAAGTTATGGGAACTAACCTTTCATTCCAAATGTTATGTTATATACACTATATGGCCAAACATAATTAAATAACTATTTTGTTCAGGTGTTTCTGTCACACTCATTGCTGAAAATCAAGTACATTGCCATGAAGTCTCTATAGACAAACACTGGCAGTAGAATGGGTTGTACTAAAGAGAAATGAGAATCCATATACAAGCAGCTGCACACAAGCCTAAGATCATTATGTGCAATGCCAAGTGAGTGGTGTAAAACACACTGCCTGGATTAGACTCAAGGGGCAATGAAAACATGTGAATCACACTTCACTATCTGGCTGGAAGAATGTATTTGGCTTTGGTGGACACCAGAAGGATAGTACTAGAATGCATAATGCCAACAGGAACGTTTGGTGGAGGAGGAATAATGGTCTGGGCCTGTTTTTCAGGGTTTGAGTGAGGCTCCTTAGTTCTAGTGAAAGCAATGCAATGGCCTGCACAGAGCCCTGACACCAACCCCAGTGAACACCTTTGGGTTGAACTGGAATGTTAATAGTGAGCCAAGTCTTCTCATCTAGCATCACTGTCTGACCTCACAAATGCTCTTTTGACTGAATGGGCACACAGACACACTGTACGCTGTTATAGCTACAAATATTAATACCCATAACTAACTCCATATTAATACCCATGGTTTTGGAAAAGGATATGCAACAAGCTCATACAGCTGTGATGGTCAGTTGTCCACATATTTTTGCCATATAGTATATCTCTATGATAACCTTAAATTCATGCAATAAGTAGCATGTTATTCCATTGGTTTTCATTCAGAACATTTCCACTGAACCTCCAAGTCTGAGAGATGTGCTACAATGAGTGGTCTTAAATTACATTGAAATGCTTTCAAACTGAGAAATGACTGTGATATTTACCTCAGCCCGTACAGAACCGTGCCGTCAGGGTGGAGCCGGATCATACGGTTCTTTACCGTCACGCCATGCAGGAAGGACTTCTTGTCATTCAGGAAATAAGTGTCTGGCAGCCACAACTGATCAGCCACACGGTTGTCCAGGGTCAGATTGAGCGGCATCTCCACATAGGCCAGTCGCTTGTCCCGCCAACTCTGTTGGAAATACATGGTGATGGTGTAGTCCTGGAGAGAGGAGAGAAAAAAACAGAATTCAGGGTTTAAACTGAGATCTCCTCAGGATGCAAAAAGCATAGAAACAGCTGCAATAGTCTTATCAGGTGTTGTACTGGTCATTTAATGCACACATTCCCTCATCCAGTCCACATTATTGATTTGATCTAGGTCCTAACACATCAGAGCCATGTAAGCATGGGGTGCAATCTAGATGAAGTTATTTGAACAGAACAAAAATATGATCAGTCTGTGGGCCCTCAGGGCCAAATTAGGGCCATCAACATTGTAAAACTTAGAATCTTATGACTGTCTTTGGGTATAAGATCCAGCTGGACTTGCTAATGATGCTGCTAAAATTATATACAGACGGTTCCATAATTACCGGCATCCTTAATAAAGATGATCATCAAAACCATATGGAAAAATATATTCCAAATATATTTATCAAACAAGTTTTTGCAATGTATGAAAATGTCCAAAATGTATTTGTTAAAATGCATTTATTTGTATTTGTACTATGTATTTTTTCAACTTTATGTAATTTTAACAAAGGTTACAGGTATAAATAAATATGCATGGACTGAATGAACGGTACCAACTTTGCATTAACCATTGTATATATGCAGTAAAACAGCACCGGCACAAAATGTATTTCAAATAAACAAGATATTAAATAATCAAACTGCTTTTTCACAGTGTATCAGTACCTACAACACTTGCTTTTGCCACATTAAAGGTTCATTTGCTAACACTAAAAATTAAGATACTGCATTTATTTTTGTACATTTCTTTGTGTAATATTCCCTCATACATTTTAAATAAATGCATTTTAAAATATAGTTGGTTAATATGGCAACATATTCTGAAATACATTTTAGTATTTGGAGTGTATTTCAGCATGGACTGCAATGTATTTGAAATGTATTATATTTATAATATAAATGTATTATATTTTTCCATATGGGAAAAGTGTCTATGATTAATTGGCTCCGTCTAGTACTGAAAATGCCAGAATCATTTAACTGAAGTAAATTTAGTCTACGAAACCAAAAACACTTATCAAAAACATTTTTTAACCAAAGCACTTGTCACAATCATAGGCACCCTTAGGAACTGTTACGAACTGAAACACGGCCCCATTTATATTTTTTTGTCCACTTGAGCGTTCAGGGACTCTAAAGTGGTTATTCATTGTTCTTGTTTCATAGAAGTATAAATATGAGGTGACACAGAGGCCAAATTTCCTTACACATTTATCAACATGAGGAAGATCAGAAAATACATACAATAAATTTGACAAAACTGTGCTGACCTTCACAAATCAGGCAATGGCTTTGCTAAAATATCAAAATGCTCATATCTGCTGTTGGAGCAATAATTAAGAAGTTTAAAACAACCAGAGCTGTAGTGGTCCTGCCTGGAAGAATATGCATGTTTATTTTATGCCCATACACAACGAGGAGGATGGTTAGAGAGGTGAAAATTTCTTCAAGGATCACAGTTGGAGATTTGCAGAACATGGACCCCATTTTGGGGTCACCTAATCTTCAAAACTACCACCTAGGCGCCAACACACTTGGAAATATATGCCAGAAGAAAGCCTTTTCCTATTCCTAATAACACATGGAAGCACCTGGACTTCCTTAGATGCTACTGGAACTTTGACTGAAACGAGGGTCTATGGTCAGATGAGACCAAAATAAAGATTTCTGACAACAAACACATTTGTTTGGTGTAAAAAGAGGGTTACGGTTTGATGTTAAGTATAGCGATGTTTGGGATGTCTGATGTTTCATGGCTGTTTTTCCTCCAAAGGACCTTGAAACCTCATTAGGCTACATGGCATCATGGACTCCATCCAGTACCAGGAGATCACAATGAGAAAGTATGGCTGCCTGTGCCAAAAAGCTGAAACTAAATTGTGGATGGAGCGTAAAGTGATCACAAAATATACATCCAAATCCACATAAAAATGGTTGAATGACTGCAGAAACAAGCTTTTGACATAGCAATTCCAGTCCCCTGACCTAATCTCCACTAGTGAGTCTAAAGTGAGTCTAAAAAAGGGGACCTAGATCTCTGGAGGATCTGGACAAATTCTGTGAGTGGTCTATATTCTTTGCTTTGTGTTCTTCAATCTCATCAGACTCATTGCTGTAATATTAGACAATGGAAGCAGCACAAAGTACTAAATGTGTGGTGCCAATAACTGAAAAAACAATTGTTTTTTAGACTAAGTGTATTTCTATTTAAAGTTCAAAGAAATTTTTTCATTTCTTTTTCCTTTTTACCTATTTTTACTAAGGATGCCAATAATTATGATGCTGACTTTACTTGGTAGGATCTGCTTAGGATGCACTAGGCTTAATGGAATGAGTAAGACTTGACCTTGTATTTCCTGTAACCCTTGATCAAACAATCTGTTCAGCAAGCATGTGTGTTTGTAATTTCAGTGTAATACAGAGGTGCATAATGATTGTTAATTTATCTGTTTCTAGATGTGTTCGTGTATTTGTTCGATTTAAATGCAAATGTAATTTTTATCCGTTTAATAAAGTTTACAAGGCTTCACTAGGTAGTGAGGCAATGTCCCACTGAGACTTTGGTTAATGAGTTAAATGATCAGTTTAACAAGAATTTCAGGCTTTTATCAGTTTATGTCAATACTAATTGAAACAATATTTTAAATGAATTTGAACAAAACAGACAAGAACATGTGCTTCTTGAAAAGTCTGGACCACTACACGCATTGCACTTGCTGTAACACCTGTTTTAGGGTCAGCCACTCTACATAAATATAGTTATCTGACACAAATCAAATGATGGAGGCCCATTCCCACCAGGTGGAGAAAAAAAGCAAGCTTTTGGTCCATTTCTGTTTCTGGCTCCAGATTGTCAAAATTTTTACTTGTCTTGAAATAATGACTGATTCTCTCAAGAGCTTGAGATATTGTCTTGAGACTTTGATGTAGTAGCTTAAAATAATGATTATTTCTCTAAATTATAACTTTTCTAAAAAATTTTTCTCAAATTTTGACTTCAATATAATTTCTTATTTCCTTGAGATTTTCACTTGGTACCTTAAAATAAGTTCTTGTTTTCTTAGATTTCGAGTTAATATCTAAAGATTTCTTCAGATTTCTGTTTTCTTAAGATTTTGACTAATTATCTTGAAGTAATTTTGTATTTTATTTTAAAATAATTACATATTTTCTCGAGTCAGTTTCTCAGAACAACTTCTGGCTTCTTGCTGAGATTTTGCATTAGTATCTCAAAAAAAAAAGAACTTATTTTGTCAAAATTTTGACTTTTTATTTCAAGACTTTCAGTAATTAAGATGACCTTCCAACATATGTCAAAGAAATTTTAAGAAAGTAAGTAATTATTTGTGGAACAAGTTATTTATGAGTCAAAATTTCAAGAAAAGTCATTATTTTAACATAGTAAATCAATAATTCTACGATGTAGAAAGTAAATCATTACTTTGAGTCAAAATTGTGACACACTGCTGTCAGAAACAGACAGAGAGAAGAAAGCTAAGCATTTCTCCTCCGCCTGGCAGGAATGTTCTTCCACATCTAACAAAAGACAAAACTAAACTGAATTATTCATGCAGCATTTTTACAATGTGGATCTGATCTGGTACTCATAAAGCATATCAGGAATTCTTACAGTATATAGTGTCACATTCCTTATGTTAGGCTCAGGACCTAAACTGTTTTAGCTCAACGTGCTTACTCTTAGAAGCTTCTTGAATATGGATTACTAATAAAACATCCACCACTGGATTTTGACTGAAACAACCCCCTTGGACTCAATCATGCCTAAAATCTACACGTGCCAATTTGTTGTGTTTTATCTCAGTGATAAAGGACACCATCCATGCATGACGTTAGCATGACGCATTTGTATATAGGCACTGACTCTAGACCTGAATTGACATATTTTATGAAACAGCATTAGCACTCAGCAGTGGTGGAGCTAGGCTCATGTAGTGAGCCTAGGCTAATGCAATAAGCCACGCTCCATTGTTTAAGAACACACTGGGATCTTAACAAGGGGAAATGGGGAACTCAGTGGGCTGTGCTAATGCACCTACTATGTAGAGAGAGAAGGCTGCTGCACGCCAAGGCCTCTCTTAGCATTCAGCACAGGTATAATGGCAGCCTGGCAGTGGATCAGTGTGATCCAATCTGGCCTGGACATTCTGTGCTTGCCCACAAACAGTGTTGAGTAGATAAGGGGTGCCCCAAAATGCTCATGTGACAAACTATGAATAACACCTAATTGGAAGCAAACAGCATGATCTCTGTCGCATGTTGCTAACAGTCTAACTGTCTACCAGCTGTCAGTCATTATTTGCATTGATAGCATCTCTCTATGAAACATTACTTTTCTTCTTTGTTTTTCTGTGACTAATTTAGGACTAATTTTTTTGAACAAGTCAAGCTAGTTATTACAGGAAATCAGATGTTAATGAAAGGGAATGATGCTCCTATGTCTGTGCTAATTGCTTTACAGAATGCATTGCGTCATTCTGATTTGAAGGAAGTTTGTAAGAATATATTATGTATAGCATGACGTGTGATCTTTAGCTAAAAGACAAAATTGACATTAAAAAAGAAAAGATTTGGTCTGTATCTTTTAGTACATTGTCTTTACATTTTCTCTATTGTTAAGTTGGCTTGACAACTTGTTCTTTGTTTTAATATTCTACACTTTTTTTGTACTGTTTTCATGGTGTGCAGTTTGGGATACCATAGCAATGGCCTACCAACACCTTAGTAACCACCTAAGATTCCATAGCAACGACCTAGCAACAGCTTAGCAACCACCTGGAATACCATAGCAATGGTCTAGCAACACCTTAGCAACCACCTGGGATACCATAGCAACAGCCTACCGACACCTTAGTAACTTTCTTCCACAGCAATGGCCTAGCAACATCTTAGCAACCACTTAGAATGCCTTAGCAATGACATAGCAATACCTTAGTAACCATCTGGGAT